CCCCAAGCTAGCAGCATAGCTGTTGTTTACACTTTGCAAACACTAGTTTTTGCAATATTTTGACGTTTCACAATGGCACTTGACATATTCCTCCTCCGGGAGCTCTTAGCAGCAGCTGTTCTCTTCTTTATTACACGGTATTTCATTCGTGCTCTTCTCAAAAAATCAAACCGAACGCTTCCTCCAGGCCCAAAAGGATGGCCGGTTGTCGGTGCTCTTCCACTCTTAGGATCCATGCCCCATGTCACATTGGCCAAATTAGCCAAAAAATATGGACCTGTTATGTATCTGAAAATGGGAGCATGCAACATGGTGGTGGCCTCGACTCCAGACGCTGCTCGAGCTTTCCTTAAGACCGTCGACTTAAATTTTTCCAATCGACCCGCTAACGCTGGTGCCACCCACTTAGCTTATAACTCTCAAGACATGGTCTTTGCGGACTATGGTCCCAGGTGGAAATTGCTTCGTAAATTAAGCAATCTTCACTTGCTTGGTGGTAAAGCTCTTGAGGATTGGTCACAAGTCCGGGCTGTTGAGCTAGGCCATGTGCTTCGAGCTATTTGTGAATCTAGCCAAAAGGGTGAGCCGGTGGTTGTGCCAGAAATGTTAACATATAGCATGGCCAATATGATCGGCCAAGTGATTCTCAGTCGGAGTGTTTTCGTGACAAAAGGGTCAGAGTCCAATGAATTCAAAGACATGGTGGTGGAGCTCATGACCTTTGCCGGAATTTTCAATATCGGTGACTTTATACCGTCCATTGCATGGATGGATTTGCAAGGGATTGAACGTGAGATGAAGAAACTAAATAAAAGATGGGATGTGCTGTTGACGAAGATGATGGAAGAGCATGCCAAAACAGCTCAAGAGCGGAAGGGAAAACCTGATTTTCTTGATATTATTATGGCTAACAGAGAAAACTCTGAGGGAGAAAAGCTCAATTTGACCAATGTCAAGGCCCTTCTTTTGGTGAGTCGTCCCCGCAGAGCTAAGTTTTCTTTGGCTCTGAAAGTTTAGTCACCCATTGAATATATGTATATTCGGGAAAAACAAAAGGTGTTTATATATATATATATATATATATATATATATATATATATATCCTGAAATAAGATTTTCTAAATGAGGTTTGTGAGGTTTTTATTAAAAATAATTAAATTAAAATTAAAAATTAAAACACAATCAAAATCAATATATGGAAAGATCATGTTATGTAGATAAAATTTACAAAATTTTAAATAATTTGAATATGTTTTGATATTTTATTAAAGATTTTAATAAAAAGTTTTTATGTAAAGAAATTTTTTGCATAAATACTGTTTTTAATAATTTTTTTTACATATTATATATCTTTATTTTCATTAAACTATTAATTTATTAGCTTTAATTTTTAAATTTAATTTTTGTTTAATCATTTTAATGAAAAAAATTAAAAAACTTGAATTAGAAAACTCATCTAAAACCTCTCCAGCATTTAATCATATAATTAAAATTAAGAAAAAAATTTATAGAACTTCTTCTAACGTCTTTAAATTCATGTTCGTTGACCATATATGTTAATTATAAAAAGTCTAGAGTAAAACTTAAGTTTTAAGACAAAATTTAATTGAAGATAAAAACTTATATTACAAGCATGTTTTTTGCCGTTGAGACAATATTGTAATTTAAAACCAGACAATCTAATTACCAAAAAAGTTCCATCTTCTAATTCATTTTTAATTTTCTTTCTATTGCAAGAATCTATTCACCGCTGGAACCGACACATCTTCAAGCATCATCGAATGGGCATTAGCTGAAATGATGAAAAATCCTAAAATATTCAAGAAAGCTCATGAAGAGATGGATAAAGTCATTGGCAGAAACAGAAGGCTTCAAGAATCTGACATACCAAAACTTCCATACTTTCAAGCCTTATGCAAAGAAACATTCAGGAAACATCCATCAACTCCCTTGAACTTACCCCGAGTTTCCGCCCAAGCATGTGAGATTAATGGCTACTATATCCCCAAAAACACTAGACTTAGTGTCAACATTTGGGCAATTGGTCGTGACCCCGATGTATGGGAAAATCCACTAGATTTCAAACCTGAAAGATTTTTGAATGGGAAACATGCAAAAATCGATCCACGAGGAAACGATTTTGAGCTAATTCCATTTGGTGCTGGAAGAAGGATTTGTGCTGGAACCAGGATGGGAATTGTGCTAGTTGGGTACATTTTAGGCACGTTGGTTCACTCTTTCGAGTGGATGCTACCAAATGGTGGGGAATTAAACATGGACGAGGCCTTTGGGCTTGCCTTGCAAAAGGCTGTGCCTCTTTCAGCCATGGCTCGCCCACGGCTCGCCCCAACTGCTTATGTCCCCAAATTCTGACCTGCAGTCAACTTTATATATGGTTTTCATAATAGTTTTTGGTTAAGGCATCTGAAATTGAAGATTTATATTGTACTTTTATTACAATGAATAATAGTACTTTCCTTCTTGTGATCATATTAGGCGAAGTTTCACAGTCAAATCCATGTATGTAAGCTAAGCCCCATTCTAAGCTCTCATAAAATGGGTATCATGTAAACTTCAGTCTGATTGTCCGATAGATATGAGTAAACGCTAATTTTTTTTTTTTTTTAGAAAATATAAATTGTCATTTTGCCTCTGAATTAAATGGAATGATGGAGGTAAGTGGGTTTAGTTGACAATCAAACGATCTGAAGTTTTAAACTGCCATGAAGCAGTTGCAAGAAATGATTGAGAAATTTTAATAAATAATTTTTATTACAGTATCGATTTATGTATTTTTTATTGAATCAAATAATTAAGTAGCTAGGTATATTTATATTTCTTTGCATATTGTAAATATCTAAAGGTAAAATAAAAAAATGAAATTAATAGTGATGTTCAAGGCCTATTAGAACAAATAGAGAAGCCTACGGACTACAGAGTGTACTTTCACAATGCTAAGCAGAAATCTATCATCTATTATTATTGATAGAAAGTTAATTACATACTCGTCACCTGCTTGACTCGTATCCTTTTCAATAGATGTAGTAGTTTATATATTTGTGTTATGTTTATATTATATAAAACATGTGTAAAATATAAAAATTACAAAATTATGATATTTGTTAATATATGAAATATTAAATATATATTTTTTATTTTTATAAAATTCATATATAATTTTTATTAAATTTATTTTTATTTTTTTTATTGTATCGTAGCATGTGTAAAATTTTTTATCTACGTTTCAACTCAGAAGAAATTTTTATAGTTGTCAAGTAAATGGAAATATGATAACTCAAAGCTTGAGATTAATCAAGCTCTTCTTTTCTCCTCTTCGTCTATTGTTTTCAGATAGAGGAGTCATACCATTAATTAATTACCTGGAAAATTGGAAGAAGTTTTGGGGGGGTATTGAATTCATCTAGGGACAAGTTATGGATTCATCCTAAAACAAGCAGGAGAAGTGTTGCCAGGGTGGTGATTCTTCCACAGGTTGCGGACTTGTCGTGAGACAAGCAGGAATAGAGTATTAAATGCCTCTGGCATTAGTCAGTTGGTGAATTCATCCCAAATAGGAAGGAACATCGATAACGTTTGTTGATCAGAATATTGAATTGATCCCAAAATACGATACGTTCTGATGATCAGGCAGTTAACATTTATGGGGAGAGCACCATGGCCATATTTATTGGTGCCTCATGAAAAAGAAAAGATTAATTATGGAGAGCGTTAATTTTGTAGCAGCAATGCTCATCCAAGGATTTTGGATAGCGCATGATCAGGCTGATTCAATGGAGACTGTACTTGCAGCGGTTGCCGTTTCCATGGGTAGCAGCAAAACTCTCTTTCTCCTTCCTCGTAGTCGGAAACCGTGGTAAACAATTGAGTTCGTGTGTATAGACAATCAAGAAAAAAAATTTTGTATCTGTACAAGAAAAATAACTGTTAAGAGTACAGGAATACCAATTAGAATTTTTTCGTAAAAATTTCAACTGGCAGTCTGTCATTTGGAAATCCATTCAGGGAAACTTCCAATTCTCTCCAATTTTTCCTCCTTTTTCGCTCTATATACTAGATTAAATGTGGGGCCAAACAACATGGGCCTCTTTGACTTGACTCAACTTTGGAGAAATATTTTCAAACTAATCTGTCAATTATTGTTTGGAAAATTTATAAGCATAATTTAAAAATTAGGAAAAACTTTTAGGTTTTAATGGTAGAAAAAAGGAAGCCGATTGCCTTGCTCACAGAAGATGTTCTTTATTTCTGTAGTCTATCCCGAATGTGTCAGTATTTGGCACCAAGATCACACTTGACAACGAATTACGTGTTGATCGCTGACCATGCATGGTATACTTGCATGCATATATCTTCTTTCTTCGAAAAAAATGTTTCTTTAGCACGAGTATTCAATCAACTTAATTGTAAGCGCATGTATGATGAATCCTTTATTCAAAGAGCCAACTTCAAATTTTTCTTCACACTAAAAAGAAAGTTTATGGATTTAAAATATGATACAGATATTTAAGGTTGGTAAAAACCAAAAAGTATTAACTTCTCTTTTCAAAAGTACTCAACCATTCATCCAAAGGAAACAAAAACATATACCATTGTATTATATCACTGTCATTAATTAAATTTTGTATATGAATACAATGCAACAGCAAAGTATAGTTTGAAAGTTTCTCAAGCCAAAAATTTAAAAAGTTACACATGAAAAGATTCGAGTAATTTTCAGTTAGTAAGCCAACAACAGATAAGAAATTGTAATGCGCGTACTCCTAAAAGTGGACATCAATGAAGCTCAAATCTCCTAAAAATTAGTAAACAATGACTTTCTCTGTGGGCACAGTTACAAATGTTCATAAAACGGTGACGGAATTTCACAATCCTCAAATTGCCATCAAACATTCTTTTCTTTTTAGCCATCTTCTCAATAACCATATCATCTGCCAATGTTCTCTTGATTTTGTATAGGTAATGTAAAAATATGCATTACCCTTTGCAAGAATTTGTATTAAAAATTTTCATGCATGCATATTTTCACATCAGCTCCGCCATTCATTAGCCTTCTAAGGGAATATTCACAATGATCTCCTTCTCTGTTTTACCCTCCTTAAACCAACACCAAAATCAAACGAATACGTCACGCCGCTTCTTCGGGTTTGCTTCAGGGTTCCCTTTTCTCATCATTGCCACAAACTCATCATAGTTGATCCTTCCATCCTGCAAAAATGTCAAAAATTTATAATTTATGCAATACTTGTTTTAACAATTTATAGTGTCATGCCTGTGTGTATTCATCATGATTTTTAACTTGAAATGAAGGGAAAGAGAGGAAATAGGAAATTGGAACCTTTTGACATAAGCGCTTATGACCCTTTCTATTGATTTAATGGTGATGAATTTGCTTGGTTTTTGGTTTGAAAATGGAATGGATTATATATATTTTGCTTACATTGTCAGAGTCAACTTCAGAAAGGATTTCCTTTATGTCTCTGCCATCATGCATGCCATATTCACGGAGAGCTTGCTCTAGTTCTTCAGTCGTGATGTAACTGTAAGTAGGCTTACACAGTTATGCAGAAGTTAAACCAAAAAAAAAAAAAATGCAGAACATAAATGAAATTAGCTGCAGTTGCTGAGTTTTATTACTACCATTACCCGCTATTGTCTTTATCAAAGTGCTGGAAGGCATGGTACAGATGCTCTTCTCTATCCATTCGGTTCATATGCATTGTAGCCGTGATGAACTCATCGTAGTCTATGGTTCCATTTCCGTCTGCATCAGCCTTTTTTTTAAGATGTAAAAGTTAAGAAAAGCACCATATATTTATCTTATTGACAAAAAAGAAAGATGGTATACATCTTTGGAAAAGACTTACAGCCTCCATTAGTTGTTTAACTTCATATTCAGATAGCTTCGTTCCTTGCTTAGCAAGACCTTGCTTCAATTCTTCTAGTGTTATTGTTCCGCTGTTGTCAGTATCCATGCCCCTGAACATCTCCTTCAATCCCATGATTTCTTCCTCTGATAAACAGCCCGCAATGACCTACCAAGAATTTCAGGAAAATTTGATGAGAAACAAAATTTCCTGGAGTTATCTATCAAGCATACTCGTACATTTTTTTGATTACTAATGAAGCAGTTAGACCTTCATTAAATCGTTATGAATTTTTTGGGAAGTCTAATCAATGAGATGTTAGTAAGGATTCAGTACCCGCAAAGCAACTTTTTTGAACTTGTTCATTGCTTTGAACTGTTTGAGCCTGCTTAGTACTGCATTGTCAAGAGGTGTATCAGGGGCTTCACCATCCTCTTTGATCCATGGATGACCTGTTGATGGCCATACACAGAAACATGTCATGCATAATGTCCAGATAGGGGAGACATGTTCATTCCCTATCAGATATTCTTTCTTGTTTTTTTTTCCCAAGCAAATAGAATGGATGCATACGGATATTTCCAGATAATCCTACATACTGAATTTGAAGGCATATACTTACTTAGAACCTGGATGGCGGTTAACCTCTGCTTGGGATCCGAATTTAGCATCTTCCGGACAAGATCCTTTGCTTGTGGTGAAATTGAAGGCCATGGATCGGTCGTGAAATCAATGTGGCCTCGCAAAATTGAATTGAATATTCCATGTTCGGATTCTATGGTCAGGAAAAATAATCAAGCTTCAAGCTTCAGTATTACATTTATTAGGATTCTGTCTACTTTTGTCAAAAGGTTGAATAAAAAAAGGAGGGGAATGAGACTGACAATATAATTACTTACCTGCCCAGAAGGGAGGAACACCAGATAGAAGAATATACAACATAACTCCAATGCTCCATATATCGGCTTCTGGTCCATATTTCCTCTTCAAGACTTCAGGTGCAATATAATATGCGCTACCAACGATATCTTTAAATACGTCACCTGTTCGGAAGGCAAGCAAAATCATATTGTTTATTGTCATACATATCAAAACTGAGGAAACTAAGGAGAAAAAAAATGCGAAGATGAATAAAATTATGTCAACCTGGCTTGTAAAAGACTGATAGACCAAAATCTGTGGCTTTGAGAGGGGAATTTTCCTCCTTGTTCAACAACAGGAAATTCTCAGGCTTGAGATCCCTGTGGATAACCCCCATAGAATGGCATGTGTGCACAATCTGAACAATTATCCTCAGCAAAGAAGCAGCTGCACGCTCGGTGTAATGGCCCTTAGCAATGATCCTATCAAACAGCTCTCCTCCAGCACATAGCTCCATCACCAAATGAACCGAATGCTTATCCTCGTAAGCTCCCTTGAGTTCCACAATGTTAGGCTGACCCGTCAAATGGTGCATGATCTGCACCTCCCTTCTAACATCCTCAATATCCTCCTTGTTAACAAGTTTCCTCTTCGCAATTGTCTTGCATGCGAACTGTTCCCCCGTTGACTTGTTGGTACATAAATGCGTAACTCCAAACTGTCCCCTGCCCAATTCTTTGCCAATGTTGTAGGTGGATTTGACATCTTCCATGGGGCGGCCTAAGACTGGTCCAATAGGGGTAGGCTTGGAAGGCTTGGAGGAGGCTCCTGGAGAGGGTGAAGCTTGTGCATGCTTTGGTTGGTTTTGGGCGGAACTCTCATGCAGGGAAGAACTGCTAGGATTGTTACCACTATCAAGAGTGGTGTCTCCCTTTCCATTGGTGTCAGGGGCATCGGCAGGGTTGCCTCGAGAGCAACAATTCCCCATTGTGGAAGGGAGCTAGAGATAGGTGGGGGTTTGAAGGCCTTAAGCAGAGGGAGAATTTTAGAAATTCTGATTAAGGCTGAAGAAAAACCTGCTACAAAAAGAGAGAGACAATGTATAGAGTGAGAAAAAATGGTTGAAAGATTAGTACACCAGCTTGGATTTTGGTGTAGAAATTGAAGGGGATTGATAGTGAGGGATTTTAGGATTAAGCGTGTCTAAATTTTGTTAAAAGTCATTGTTTGAAGCTGTTGGAAATGCATTTTTTTTTTTTGAGACAAAGGTCCAGAGGACTTCTCGGCCATATATTGAAAAACTGTTTTCCTGTCTTTTAGGGACTTCCACCAACGGTTAAAAAGAGAAAAGGACTGCAACTGTTAAGAGTTGCCTTCATTCTTGCTATGACAAGATTTTAGATTTCCCCTCCCGTCATTTCATGACATAACTTTTGGGTTTTGTTTTGGACTGTCAAATTTACTTAGAAATATATTCGAGCTTTTGTTATTGTTTGAAAACGTGAAGCCATTCCCAATATGATCAAATCTATTTCAGGCAAACCCAAACCCATTTTCAATTAAGCCGGCTTGCTTTGGCATCTTCCAGGAACACTGCTAGCTATCTTTATGGGGAAAAAAATACCAGTTTTTCCTGTCTTCTCAAAACATACATGGATTCGTATCTAGGGGCAGATCCAACATCCGGTATTTATGGTTAGTAGGGGCAAACTTAATATGTGAATAGGTGATATTTATTCTTTTAAAAAATAAGTTAAAACAATTTTCATTGCAAATACTAAATAATTCCAATATACTTATCAAATGTGTCAGCTACCATGTAAAAATTTGGATATGGAACTTGGGAGCAAGCATTAGCTTCCAATGATTGTAAAGGTTGTTTCAATAGCAAGATTTTCCTTGCTTTTTGGATATATTTGACAATTTCTATATATTCATGTATATATTCATGTTTATTTTATATTAAATATGTATTAAATTTAAAAATTATCATATTATAATTTGTATGAATATTTAAACACAAAACATATTTTTTATTTTCACCTAATTCATATACAAATTTTGTATAACACTTAAATAAAAAATATTTTTTTTATTTTTGTTAAACTGATACACAATTTTCGCATCAAATTTAAACACAAAACATATTTTTTTTATCAAATTTATATATAATTTTCATATCAACACTTAAACACAAAACACTTTTTTTTTATTTTTTATCAAATTTATATACAATTTTTGTCAATTTCAAACAGTAACAATTTTATGCCTTTTTTATATCAAAATTTTATTATATTTACAATTATAGAAATCTATTTTGTAACAGTATAACAGGTGTTTTTTATTTTTTTCCTTGTACTTTCTAACGTTTCCATCTATGAAAAAGCAACACTCAGTTATAATTGTCATGGTGATGTTTTTACGAAAAATATAGAATAAGAAATGAGAATTATATCACACATAATAAAAATTTAAAAAAAAAAAAAAAAAAAAAAAAAAACAATAGAAGGAATGAGATAAAGGTTTTATGAATAAAACCAAGTGCCTGTAATAAGTTTTTATGTAAAACTCACTCCAAATATTATAGTAGAATAATTATAATTAAGCAATAACAAAGTATTTCGAGGGGAAAGAAAAGGCAACAATAGAAGTGTAACTAAAGTTTTTTTTTTTCCACTTGATAATTATTGTCAATGAAACTGTATATCTCGGAGTGCTTACGATACAGGGAGTGCAAAGACAAAAATATGGACTAAATCCATTTCAGATCTGCATATGGCTTCTGAAACCATGTTTCCCAAGGAACCTTTATAGATTTTGTAAAGGGAAAGCAGATTGATCCATTGTTATTACAGCCTCAATATGCAATTTGACTCCAAGTATAAAGCTAAGATTTTGTGAATAAAACATTTGGAAAAAGAGGAGCAGGGGTTGCGTGAGAGAATCTCAGTAAGTAGGAACTGAAGGATCCACCTTGGTCGCGTAAGCATGTATTCCCCCATATAGATTAAACACTTTCCTAAATCCCTGAGCAACAAAAAATAAATAAATAAATAATTTAGTCAAGAAAGAACCAGCAAAATAGAAAAAAAAGGCATGAAAGAAACCTCAGATGATCGCAAACAAAATAAGCCGGTCAGGAAATAGAAACTGGAATGGTCTCAACTTGAAACTTAAAATGTACGCACAAGAAGGCAGAGAATAATAACCAGATGGTGGATTTAATCAGATAAAAATTTCTGTTTCATCTAAACTTATTCTCCATGATCTTGTGATGTATACACGAACCAACTAGTCAGTAGAAAGGAGAAGTAAAGAAAACAATGTAACCCCTTTCCACCATTTTCAAATTCTCCACCCCAACAACAAATCCAACCCAATAAAAGGACAACCTTTTCTGTTTGAAAGACAATAGACCTTTTAATAAATGTTTTGCATGCGCTTAACCTTTTTCAAGATGGCCCTCTGGAAAAACAGGCTGCATCTATAAGGCAGACACTAACTTTTCTGTTATTGAGTGATTTGCCTATCCTTCTGACCATATTGGCTTTAAAATCTAGAGAATGGAATAAAGACAAGGTTAAAATATTGTTGTTGCTCTCTAACCTCCCTCAATGCTATACCACAAACTTACATTGCATCCAATAAGAAGCATAATGTAAGCATTCAATGATATCATAATTACAGCACAGAACAAGTGGCTAACTGGTCATTGGTTTTTCTAAAAAGGGAGGGTGGAGGAATGAGGAGCTTTGAGTCCTAATGAAACCCATGAAAGCGAATGTGAATGCCAAAGAAACACATACAAGAACTGTGAAAGAGAAGTAAAGCAAAAGGGAGAATGTATGATAATAAGCTTAACCTGAGTCTGCAACCACTTGGCAACCTGTAAGGACCGCATGCCATGATGACACTGGATAATAAATTTTAACATATTAAAATGCAACATCAAAAGGAAAGAAGCAAGAAACAAGAAGAAAAGACAGGAGAGACTATTGAACATTAAACGCTATTCATAATTAACTGCAGTCAAAAGCATCCTTACAAGTAGAATAAAGAACTCACCTTAGAACAGTGGCATCCAATCAGAAGAAAAATCATTTTATTGATCTATAAAGCAAAACTTAAAATGATTTATAGAAATGAAAGGAGTTTATCCCATGAATTTACACAGTGAAGATCTTGCACAAATTGTGCCTTTGAAAACAGAACAATAAGGGAAAACCAGGTACAGAAGCTCATGGCTGGAAGATTCCTTTTATAATGGAAACAAACTATTCATGGGCAAGAGTGCAACCAGATACTATAATAGATACCAATTATTAATCTCCCCTGCCGAAATCCATAACAAATAGCTTAAAGATAAACAATCTAGTACATTCAAAGGTAATATATCAGTGGTTACACAGTGCAATATGACAGAAGCCAGCCAGTGTAATTGCATCAACTAAGAAAAACCTTGACTAGCTGTGACCAGAGAAATATTCCAAATCCAGAAAACAGCTATAAAACACGAACAAAAAAATTAACACAAAAGAATTACTGATTCTTGTGCCTTCTTTGCCCAGAAAATCAGCTCTCTTGATCAGCTACTATTAGGATTATTTGATTTCTAATTTTATCTTTGCACATCCTCTTTGCGTATAGCCAGAAACATAATTAACCAGATCTCACTCAACCAATAGCATCAGAAGAGAGTCCCCTCCGATTAAGAGATGTAAAAACCTAGGGATGCTCCAACAAAAGGCTTTTCAGTTGAACAATTACCACAACCACAATAAGATCTCCTGTACTTGGCTTCCAGAAGTCCAAAAATTAAAGCTTAGGATCTCTGACAATTTACCCTACTTCCATGGACACATTAATTAAAACTACATTTGAGCTCCTCAACAAAGACACACCCAATCTGCAGCTTATCCAAATTTCAATGGAAGAATAGTTGAATTTCTGGTTGGAGTTGGCTTTTAGAGGCAAGCATGAAACGACCATGTGATCATGGAAGAAAGTACTTAAAATCCATCCAATACACCGAAAGAAAGTCAGACAGACTAGTTAATCCAAATAAAGACTCCAGGGCTGGTTAGTCAAGAAAATTAGCTTCACAGGCCCACCAAAAAATTAACCTATAGAAACTAAGTAGGAACCTATAAAATCTAGGAAGAATAGATTTTCAATTTATCGATAGCCTTATAAGAAAAAGGAGTGCTGAAACTAAGAAAATTTGAAAATTCTATGGGAGATTCAAGCCTATTCTTCCACCAATGCCTCTCCAAGGAAGTTCAAACGAGTGGAAACCAAGTAATAACACATGCAAGGCCACAGGTGATGCACCAAATGCCAAATCTACTAACATCATTTAGTACCAACCAGCAACTCCATTTATACTAATAAACATGACCCTACCAACAACAAAAAACAGCTTAAAGGAAAATTAAAGAAATAATGATAAAGATTCTTTTCAGCAAGACAAATGTGTTCATAATTTATAATCAGATTTAGATGCCATTCATTTTTCTTAGCTAAATGCAGAAAAAATAAAAGGTTGAATCTTTGGGACTGACAAGAAAATACTCACCATGACATATGTATCCTTCATTGGATCAAACTTGCTAGTTATTTCTGGTCCCCAAATTCCAAACTGGCGGAGAGGAAGAACCTGGAATCCTGGCAAAGAAGCTTGGGACCTATCATGATGCCAAAAAGATTGAGACATCAATTTAAAGCAGATATCATCCTCATCAAAGGTAAAACAAGGTGTACGACCATTGTGTGAAATGTTCCAGCTCTAGAGTGCCTTATGGTGATATAATTCACTAATTGAATTATTGGTAAATATTGTATTACATGATTTTTCTAACATTACTAAAGATAAAACTTCAGATAGCTAACGGGAACAACCAAGATTCTGCTTTCTGAAATGCTACAATAGAATTATGAGCATTAAAGAGACTTCAAAAATGATTCCAATTTCTAGTACAGTAATAAATAGGAAAATTTCCAGGAACGTTTTCTTACCCATGTCAAATACTATAACTTTTAAACTCTTCATGCCATCCCATTTTTCTTGCATATTATCTCGTGGCCTAATGCTTAACAGCTTCATATCAATGCTTAATGAATTAAGAGTTAAAATTCTTTCCTACCATATCGCCTAAAACTCTGAGCATTTAGAGTTGTTATGCTGTAATTTTGCTATAATTTTTATACCTAGAAGAAAAGTAATTACAGTAACTGTGGATGTCCATCTCATTCATCTTTTAAACATGTAAAATTGGAAAATCCACATAATTTTTTTTCTTTTTCCAGTTATGGAAGCACACAAAATAAAATACACAGGCATACACTTCTTCAGGTTCCCGGACATCTATCAACTGTGCCTCTTCAATGAAACTGGGATCTTGCATTTTTGCATGAAACTCCTCTGGTTGAATGTCTTTAAGCAATGATTCTTCCCTGAAGCAAGCTAAAGGAGAGTTAGAATCTGCTTTGCTTAATCAAGCACAGGTTTCAATTGGGCTGAGTGTTCCAAGGCATACCTCTCAGATAGAACTTGTAACAAGTGCCATCCAAAATTAGTTTTACATTTCACAACTTTGTTTAAAGGTGCACTGAATGCAGCCTCCTCAAATTCTGGTACCTGATCAATTTTACCAAGAGAAAAGATCCATCAAACATGTTTGCAAGTAAATTTAAACTTTTGCCTTCTTGTCTAAATTGCAGTAAGCATAAAGAAATGTGAATAAACATATTTCACAAACCGTGCCATAAATTCCATCAAAAAGAATTAAATCATATAAATGTTAAATTTTCAATAAGCAGACTTATCATTGAACCTAAACTGAACCAAAATCCGAATAACAGATAGCGTTTTGTACAGGCTACAGGGGCAATAAAATGCATAGAAAGCCCACAAAGCATCACAAGGGGTCAATCTAGAAGCAATCAAGACAGAATCTAGGGGAGATTTCTTGTAAGTGAGGCTCTATCATGCATAAGCAAATCTGGTGCAAAATGCCTGCTATGTGGAATAGCAGACCATTAACTATGCCCTCACATGAACAACACTTCATAGTTGAAAGGTTCTATCTGAAGTTTATGGCAAATGCAAGAAATTAACAGAGTCCAAGAAGAACCAGAAGGGGGAGATACAGCACAAAAATTTACCTTATAAGATTGCATCCTAGAACCCAAATTAACAGATCATTTTTCCCACACACACACACACAAAAAGGCATTATTAGCATAGTTTTTGGCCAATATTATCAGCATAGTTAACTCCAAGTTTTTCCAATCTTAAATTCAATATAAGCCGACTAAATTTTTGAATCAGTAAAATCCACTTCATAGGACTACACAGGTATATATGCAAGAATAAAATTTTGTAAAATCTTCAAAATTAAGCAGGTCTGTCGATTGACAGCTTGAAAATTGTTTCCTTTTTAAGTGAATTAACAAAACAAAGTCATCAATTTAAACTAAAAATAAAAGTTTGAATGTTGCTACCAGAAATTTAATACTAACTAGCTAAGATTCTTACTATATTTTTAACTCTTCAAAGAATAAATGTTTAAAAACAAAATAAAATCAATTTGGTGAATTGATGTACCATTTGCCCCTTTCTCACCCAGCCAAGCATTCCTCCCTCTTCTTTGGATGGACATATTGAGTATTCAACCGCAAGATCACTTAAATCCTCTCCTTCACCAAACAAACAACAAAAAATCAATGCTAAAACATTTGTGACAATTAAATATTATACATATAGCATCAAAATTGACTCTACTCTATGATGTATTCGATTGTTGCTTTGAGCACATAGGTTTTTTGTTTCTAAAAAGTTGCTATAAAGCAAAAGCAAATAATAGAAAGTTAAATTAATAATTAATTAAAACTGAACAAACAACTAAATACAACACCAATTCTAATACAATTATTCTATATAGAGATAAAATCACACATTTTCCTAATATAACAAAATTGACTTTAATCTTACAAATCAATTGTTAAGATTTATTTTTCAAAAATATTTACTTACTTTTGTATTTTTACAGTCTAAGTTACTTTAATAAAATCATAGTCCTCTTTTGTGGTAGTAATCAGCAAACCCCTAAATGAGATATTCATGAAATAGCATACTATAAACTCTAAAATTCAGTTAACAATATTAGACTCTGACAAGACAAACCTTCTGCAATTCTCTGTTGAAGCTCCAACAAGAGCTTCTGATCATCTTCTTTTAGAAGTAAGTGCTGAACCAATATTTCTCTGCTACCTCCAGAGCTACTCTCAGAGTTAAATGAAGCTACAATAAAATAATTATAATCCAAATTAGAGGAAAAAAAAAAAAAAGAAAAGAAAAAACATGGGTTTTTTATAAAATCACTAACCTGATGGTCTGAGTTGTGGATGACCCACCATGGGAGAGAGTTGCCTGGGAGTAAGAGCTACAAGAGAAGGGCGGGTGGGTGAGAGGGGATTGGAGAATGAGTGAAAAGCAGAAAATGTGGAGAGTTTCTGAAGAAAAGAAGAAGGGAAGGAAGAGATGCTGAGAATTGGAACCAAAGACTGCCTGAGAGCAAAGACAGTTGGGTATCTTGTGAGTGGGAAATGAGTTGCTCTTAACATTGCTTCACTCTTTTCGTAATTTGCTGCTTACTTGTTTGTTCCTGATTCATCGGATTGGTAGGAGCAGACCGGTTTTAACTAGCAGATTGTTATACAAGAAAAGGAAGGGATTATAGGTTTTGGGCTTTTGGATATTCAATCGAGAGGACCGAATCGCGGACTTAGAAATGGATTTACCCACATCGACTTGTTTCAAATTGGACTCAAAAACCGGACGTTATGGATCTGAACAGGCCACATTTGGTAATCGGGCTGATGCTGGTCAGCTCACTTGTGTATAAAATACAAAGTAAAAACCATCTGAACTCTTTTGGTTTAAATTGGGTAATTTTCTATCTTGAATTTGATCTATCAAATAAAAATTAGAAATGTTAAATGAATTATTTTGAACAAAACTTTTAAATTTGTTATGTTCAAGAAACAAAAAAAGCTAAAACATAAGTGAAGTCAGCTTGATTGTGCCATGAGAAAATATTTGTAGTTTTGCATGCAAATGCATGGTAATGGTGATAAAGGGAAATTGATATGTATGACATTGCTCTTTCCATTCTCTTTTCATTTGGAAAATTTTACAGAAACACGTGTATTTATTATTGAGTCGAACATTTAAATCCCACTCTTTTCTTGAACTTTCAATTGCACCATCATTTTTTTTTTTTTGAAAGCTTTGCAGAGGTTTGATCCGTAAGCTTATCTTTACCCTGGTGAAAAAAGAAAAACGCTATTCTCTTGGGTCTATAACAAAGCACATTTTTGTTCCCACAAAAATAATAATAATAATAATTATAAAAGCCTTCCATTGCATCAACCCCACGAAGCGAAAGGTTCCAATCAGCAACATGTCTTGGACAATGAATCAGTGGCTTACAGGTTTTCTCATTTCAGTCTCATTTTGACCCGACGTTTATTGTATATACTGTGCTTTCATTTTCCAGGAGGGAAAAAGATGCGTAAAAAATTATAATTATTATTCTTTTTCTTATGTATTTAACTATACAAGTACAACCTATGTTACTTGGATTGGAAGGTGACCGAGCTTGAATATGAATTTTTTTAACAAGGGTATATGCAATTTTTTCTGAATTTTTCGTCTATATGAAGAATCAAATTTTTATATCCATGTTTATTGGATATATGTCAAACATGAACAATAAAAATAAATAAAAAGTAGAACCAACAAGATTAAAAATCTATATAGTACATAGAAACATAAATTGTAATACACTTAGGAGGAAGACGTGATTAATGGAAGCAATGGCGTTGTCATTTGATACCTTTAAAATTTAAAATTCATTATATATATATATATATATATATATATTAAAGGGAGGAATCAACCTACATAAAAATGTTTTCTATTTTTTTTAATCATTAATTTTAATAGATTTAGGTTTTTTTTTTATGCATAAAATGATAAATAGGATAAAATAATAATCATTTTATATTATATTTGATTTGTATTTAAAGAAAATATTCATCTTCTTAGTATAGTTTCATTCAATCTTCCCAAAGTAAAGAGGATTATTTTTAACTCATGGGATTGAACTTATATATCCTATTATACTTTTAAAAATTATATCAATAATTTAAATTATATCATTTTTTAGGAATGATAATTGTAACTAATAAATAAATTATCCTATCATAATTTTTATATATATCAAATATAAAATAAGATGATATTATTTAATATAATATTATTCATAATATTATTTTATTCTATCTTATTAAAATTTTGTGCATCAAAAGCATCCTTAAAGGATGAGAGTAAACAAAATTTTCTCTTATCCATTTGTCTAATCACTTGAATCTATTAAAATTAATTATTAAAAAAAATGTACAAAACTTTCTAATTTTACTCTGGTGTAAATTGCTCTCTCCATATATTAATATAGGATAAATCATAAATTAATCTAACTAAAAGTAAAATTTAAGATAAATTGACCCAATGAAATGAAAATTTAAGAATTAATTTATAATACTGTAAAATAATTTGGGGTCAATATGTATTTAGTGGAAAATAAATATCAGATTAAGACAAATTAAGACAAAAAATATTAGTGCTATTTATGCACTAATTTTTTAATATTAAAACTAGTTTTGATTTTACCAACTGTAATTGAATTATAAAGAAACAATTTTTTATAAAGTTATTAATATAATAAAAATTATAATCATATTCATATATCACACATAAAATTCAATGAATTATATCAAATAAATAAATCAACTAAACAACGAACCAATATAAAGTTGGATAAATCCAACATAAAGTTGGCCTAGACTTAGACCTTGACAACCGAGTGTTATAAGATTTTCAAATTGCCACTATATAAGCCAAGGCTCATTGGTAATATAGAAAGAACTTTTTTAGCAATAAAAAAATAAAAAATGTGTTATTTAAGTCAATAAGAGATAGCTTGGTGAATAATTGTTTGATTATATATATTAAAGAAATGCATTTCATACATTAAAGATGATTTTAAAATATGAAAACTTTTCGAAATAATTGTAAAAAGATTATATTAATGAAGATTTCATTTTGGATTATTATTATCTATGTCGATGCTCAAATTTTTAAACTCTATTAGCGAGATTAAATGATTGCTATATATTTATTTAATATAATTAAGTAATTTATTATTTTATAAATAGATTTTAATAGATGCACATTAACTCTCTAATCGCAATTGTAAAACTTAAAACTTCTTTGTCATACAACATATTAATCTTTTTCTTTTAGTTACTTGTACTTAATTTTAGTAATGGCATTGTTATTATTTAAAGATTTTGTATGAAAAACTTATATTCATATATTTTTTATATTTTAAACGATAATTTTTTAGGTTTTTTTTATAGGTTTCTTTTTTTTTTTCATAGATTAAGAAATAAAAATAATAAATTGTTGAAAAAGATAAATAATATTATGTGTTAGAAAATATATATATATATATATAATTTTAAGAACAATGAATAATTTAATGGAGGTGTAGTTTGGTGGAATAAGGTAAGGAACGGTTTTAGCTGAGACGGATCCAAGATTCTTTTTTTATGAGGGTAAATTTATTATATAATATATTTAATTAAAAAAATTTTTAATGCAAATGTAATGTTTTCTAAATATAAATTAGACTTTTAATAAAAGAATTTAAAATATTTTTTATACTATCAAATATATAAAACGTTTAAAACTTATAACATTAAATACATAAAAAATTTAAATATCAAATAAACATAAATACATAATATTATAATTTTTCAAAAGAAAATAGTACTATATAATTGAGTTGAATAGTTTTCTTAAGTAGAAAATGTAGGATTTTCTTTTTCATTGTTAATATTAAGAGTACATAACTTTATTATATTTGGGATATTTCTTTTAAAATTCACTTTTTCTTATTAATGATATTCGTCATTGACTAATTTAAATCAAATACTAATTTAATTTCTCTATAGTTTATAAGACATGAGGTAAGATATAAAAATACAAAATAAGACTAATAACATGCTACTTATATATATATGTGTGTGAGTATAAATATATATATATAAACTTTTTAATAATTTTAAAATTGATGCTAGTTTTTTATTTCTAAATTTTAGATTTTGTTAAATTACATCTCTACAACTTTATTAGATTACATCTTTGCAACATTATTAATTTTACATAAAATATATATTATTAAAAATTCTAAATAATATTAAATAAAAACCTTACCATATTATCAGTATAAAAGAAAAACAACAAAAGAATAAAGAACTTTAATATGTTAAAAATGAATTTTATATCATGAGTATTTGGTTATGGTTCCATTTACCCGTTATCTATATTTTACTATACAAGATTATTTTAACTTTAATTTGCGTTTTTTTTCCTTTTATAAGTATTTTATCATTTTATGCTTTACTTGGATATTTTTACAATAATATAAGATATTTCACATAACTTAAAAAAAAAGTTAAAAAAAAGAAGTCTGCGAATGACAAAAAAGGAGAATAGACAAATGGGGTAAAAGAGAGAAAAGTAATACTAGGTTGTGACATAGATTAACTAGAGTGAGACTTACATAAAATAACCAGTTTTAAGCCAAAATTTATTAATATTTACTTATAATACTTTATTTTCTTTTGAAATTAGTCAATTTTTTTCTTTTCCTAAAGTATATCTATACTTTACAATATTTTAAAATCCCTCCCCTTTATAATTTTTTCCTTTTTTAGGCCAATCAAGTTCTGATCTCTCTCTCTCTCTCTCTAAAATGATGGCATCTCCTCTTATGCCAAGATACCAGCAGAATGTTCATACAGTGTTTGTCAACAATATGCCACCGAAGTCAATTGGAGATGGTTGGCATAGATTTTTCATAAACATGGAAAGATGGTAGACATGTTTATACCAAAGAAAAAGAGTTTCAAAGGACAAAAACATGGTTTCCTACATTTTGAAAAGATGAAGGATGCAAAGAAGGCAGTGGAGAGGTTGAACAGAGCCTAGCATTTAAACTATGGGATTAGGATAAATCATGCAAGGTTTAATGTGTAATCAATGTACTGGAGAAGAATAGGGGAAAATGGAAAGTAGAATAAGAGGGAAAGGAATACAAATAACTCAATGGAAGAAAAAGAGAAAGAGATTCAAATAGATACACAAGAGGCATCAAGGCAGAGGATAGGGGAAGATGGAACAATTTAGAAGAGGTTTTATAGGCATGCTTTGTTAAACGTGAAAACTAAGATTATGAGTGATTATAGTGTTGGAAAAAACAACACACATGCGCAGCAACCACACATAAAATAGCAAGCTCAAATCAAGAATAAGAACACACAAATATATTTGGTTTGGCCCAACTTAAAATGGCCTACTCCAAACACAATCCACTAACAAATAAATCTTTACAATTGTGAGACTTTTAGAATGAGTAAAGTCTCCTAAAACTCCTTACTCAAAACTTAACCCCCAAACCCAATTACACCCTTTAATAGCCTACTCACTTAGCTATTCTCTTGATGTCTAACTTTCTGGGGTTACTAAACTAAACCAAAACATCT